ATATATATATATATATATATATGTTCTCGGAAAGGTTCAAACAAGAACACCTTCATTTTCCGAGAACACGAGAACATCCTTTTACTATAGACAATCACATGTGATACTATTATTCTATTACATATGATACACATATGATATTAAATCAGAGACGCGAGAGATTTTTGATAAGATCTTGGTTGTGGGCCAAGTCGCCCTAACACCACTAAGCCCCCTCACATGTATTATCACATGTGATAAGGGTGTTGTTGATATGATACTATAATCCATCAAAACCATCACATGTGATGCTAAATCATAGACGCAGATAGCCTTTGGCGCGAGCTAAGTCATAGAACACGTCATCCACGCATCACAGGGTCCCCTCACGCGTATTATCATATGTGATAAGGGTGTTGTCGCATTCTCGTAATATATATATATATATATATATACATACATACATAAGAGTAGGTAGAGTTTATTAGAAATCCGGGAATTGTCCATAGCGCGACATGTAACATATTCATCATGAATATATAATTAATGATAAATAACACTTACAAATTCGCCATGAATGTGTTATTTATGATGAATATTCATTCTTAAGAAAGACACGACACACTCTGGCGGTTCCCGGATTCCTAACGGGACTCTCTCCTTCTCTCTTTTTATATATATACACACACGAACGTAATCAAATGAAAACCATAAGAAATTTGAAACCACGAAGACTAATCTTATTCATTCAATCACTTTAGTTTAAAAGATATAATTAATTAATTAACCTTCCATTTTTATTTCATGAAGGACACCACCTTTTACATTATCTCTCCTACCATTCTAAAATCTATCAATTAATTTTGAAATCCTAAAAAATCTATGGATAATTTATTTGTTCCATAGATACATAAATTATAAGAGTATCATTAACATATTTCCAAAGTTTTTTTAAATAAAAAATAGAATTTTAAAATCTTTAAAATAAATTCAACTTCAACAGATTCTTTATTTTAGATATTACAATATTAATTATATTATTAAAATATTTTATTTATCGAATAAAATATTTTATTTTAAAGTTTTTAATTGGTGGGAATAAATACTAAAAAAAAGTATATTTGCATTCATTTTCGAGGTGTTCTCTAAATTTGGAGATTTTACACTCTTTTTCTTACTTTCTCCATTTTGAAAAACCTGTTCTATAACAAAAATCATACCTAAAATCTATATTTTCTTTATTTTAAAGAATTTACTAGAAATGCTCTAATTTAGTATTCATATTTTTCATGTTTTTATCCTTTTTGTTGTTATTTTGCTATATTGTTTTTGTAATAATAAAAAAAACATTATGTTTTCGATTAATTTCTTGAAAACAAATATTTATTTTGTTTTATAAAATATACCTTTTTTTATATAAAAGATCTCTTTTATGTCTTATACAATATTTCTTGGACCATCATTGCATTCATATTTTATATTGAAGATTTTTTTTTGATTTCTCAAACATGCTATTAGTGTAAAAAAAAAAACCCTAATTTTTTGTTTTGGTTGCATGTCAAAACTGGAATCGGATCTGGTTTTCGTATTTATTTCTTAGTTCTTATTAGTTCTTGTAATGTAAAAAAGAATAATTTGAGAATAAATTAACTGGTATTTTATCTGTTTTAAGACTAAATGTAGTGTATATATAAATGTTGTGGTTTTTCTCTATAAAGTCAAATACTTCTATTCTCACAACTCGTGATCCTTAAACATAATCTATTATCACAACCCTTAACGCAATATAAAATGACGTTAAGCTTTATAATTTTTACTATTTTTTTTAAACGCATAAAACGAACCAACGAATGTTTTTATATTTTCTTATAAAAAATATATATTTTTATAACCACCGAATGTTAATATTTTTTTTAATAATTGTTGATACGAAAAGAATTATTTGTATTTGATTTGGGGGACAAAAATTAGATATTATATCTGAAAAATGTCAGGATCGCTCCCACCTACCCAACTACTTTAGTCATTGTCGACCACCGATCACCGTCCATCGACCTTCGAGCACCGACGACCATCGATCACCATCCAATGGCATCCACCACCGTATATCGACATCTACCACGGTCTACCTCCGGCATCCACCACGGTCTACCGCCACCTACCACCATGGAACAACCGGTAAAAAGTCGCATTTTTTTAAATTTAACATAAGAATTTATTTTTTGTCTAGTATTTAACTTAATAATCTATATTTTAATTTTGTACAACATTTAATTTTTGACAGGTGTTCTACCAGTTGTTATTGACGTTGAGACCCAAACTTCCATAATAAAAAAAATAAACGAAATATTATGAACTAATCTAAGGAGGTTAAACATGTTAAAAAATATACATGTTTTAGCCCATGATTAGATATATCTAACCACCATTCATATTTCTCCTTAATTAATTGGATGATACAATGTGAGGACCCTTCTCGCCCATATGGTCAAAACGCCCCCAAGGGCGATCCTATTGGCTATTTTCTAAAAAAAAATATGAAAGTTGACTATTTTGTTAATACAACACGTATAAACTGGCTATTTTGGTGATTTTCTCTTTTAAATAATCATTACATATAATATGACTAAAAATAAAAATGGTCTACCTCACATGTCTTAATTAATTAATAATTTTTCAAAAAATATATTTAATACATTTTTATTATCTATGAAACAAAATAAGTATAAACTTAATTATGTTATGTAAACATTGTTAAAGTTATTATATTTACATTCTGATAACTAAATATATTGAATAATAATCACAAAATAATAATATAAAAATAATTATTATCATGAATAATCAAAAAATAATATTAATATATAATTAAAATTAATTGGTATTTATTAATAATTATATCTATTAAATTTGATTAATATTCATTTATAATTAATGTTAAACGAATAATAATTAATATTAATGAAAATTATAACTGAAGAAAATGATAGGGTAAGCTAGCAAAACACTGCTCCAAATAGCATCTCAATAAGCTAGCTTATGTGCATTCAAACATGTACGCATAAAATAAGCTAGCTTATTTTTGTCACTTTAATGCCTGAAATGCCCTTCAGTTTTTTATAATATAACCATATCAACCTCAAATTTACAGATAAAATTAGTTATCACAGTTCTCTAACTTTTTAATATATTTAATTATATAGAATTTAGCAAAAATTAGTTGATGAATCACAAGATTGGAGATAAGGAATCATTGAGGAATTTGAAACATGTAGAATGCAACCACGTGTTTTGTATGAAAGTGATGACAAAGAATGTCATGTGCATCCATGGTCCCTCCCCCTTTCCTTTTTAACTTTCACAATGTCTACTTCTACCCTCAATTCACTTTTAATTCATAATAATAATAAATAACATTTTACTTTATATAAAATAATACTGAAAAATGTTTGTTAAATATTTTTACATTACTCATAAATTTTCTCTGACAGTATATTCAAGAACTTTAATCTTACTGTCAAGACTCTTCTTTTCAGCATTAAACTTTTTTTCTGATTCAGCAAAGGTTCTGCGGAAAAATAGCTCGACGCCAGGTGCGTATACTGAACAAACAAATATTTGTCGTACCCTTGTTAGATTTCTAAGGGTCCGTATGTGGTTGGTTAGATTCTAGTGAAGAGTTGCATATGGTTCGGCTTGATTTAGTCAAAGTATGAATAATGCGGTCCAAAAAATGAGTTTAAAAAAGGAAGTGAGTTAGACAAAAAAAGGTAATATATCTATTTTCTATCACAAAGGTGTCGGTCAAAGTTTAATGTCGTATGAAAAAAGGCATAGACTAGTATGGATATAACAAAATAAAGACTACACCAAAACTGGCGTTGTCCAAAAATAAGTCTGAAACGGTTAGATCAGGCAAAATAAAAACTAAACCAAGACTGGCTTCTTGGCCTAGCCCGAAAAGATTTTGGTCTGTGCGGTTTTTAAAAGAGTACAAAAAAACAAATATATTGGTGTGGAAAAAAGATCGATAGTCTGACATGGTTTTCGAAATAATAATGTCATGAACCAGTCTTTATCTGTTTGGCTTGGTCTGATTTGGCCTACTGATATCTATGGACTTCATCAAATGTGCTTATATCATGGGTATATAAAAATAAACATTAAACATTATGATATAATTGATAAAGTCATATAAGAATCTCAGAGGTCGTTTACCACACGCTTATTGAATAAACACTTATTGGAAAGAGAAATCCAGCCACCAAAATGGATTATTGGTAAACATGTTAAATCCTGTAAGTGCTTACAGTGTAAAAAAGTTTTTCTTTCACTTACCCGGTAAAACTCTCGGTCCTTGTTATATATATATATATATATATATATATATATATATATATACATACATATATACATACATACATACATACATATATATATACATACATACATACATATATATATATGCTTCTTATCAGGGAAAATCCTCGGTCCTTGTCATACTCAATCAGTAAAATAAGTCATATAGGTAAACGGTTACCTGATAAATGTTTAATAAACGACCTTAAATCTTTAATTTGTAGGTTATTTAAGTAAATATTTAAAAGAGTATAACATTACCCTACATGTTTATGGTTTTGGTTTCTTCTATTTGGATTGATGTAATACAAAAACTCTCAGGAGATGCCTTTTTCCTATTAATTGTGTTACTCAGTTATTTTATTCTATTAAGTGTTGTTTAATTTAGAATGCTTTTTAACTAAATTGCCGTACGGTATTATTTAAAAAAATTGTATTTTAAAACGATGGGTTTATAGACATTTCTCGAAAATATCTTATAAAATAGCTAATACAACATTTATAATAAAGCATCGGAAAAAAAATGGTGAAATGTCCAAAAAGTACACGATTTAGCCAGGGGCGGTGGCGGTTGCGGTGGCGGGGACCCCAGTCAAAAACTCAAAAAAAATTCATAGGTTAAAATTTTGGTTTTACATGATTTACCTTTCACTTCCCCTCTTTACATTTTTCCACGGGCCTCCAACCCCAATCGAAACCGTTACTCTAACAAAAAAAAATCTATTGAAATCAATCAGAAAAACCAAAAAAGTTATTCGAAATCGACAAAAACACTAAAAAATTCTTCGAAATCAACCAAAAAACTTTAAAAATCCCTCGAAACGTTGTAATTAGGTTAAAAACACATTGGACGATTTTGCGTGTCTTTAGTCTACCTTAAAGGTGACCTCACTCAACAAAAATCCTGGATCTGCCACTGAATTTAGCCATCCTATAAACTGTTATAGTAATTATTATTGATTAAATGTCTAAAATATACCTTTAACACGGACAAATTAAAAAATAAAATCAATAACCAAACTTAATATGATTTTTCATTAAACTCAGTAAATAAACCATATTTATGTGAAATCTTGACGTAAATTAGACTGAGTTGGAAATATCGTCGTTAATATGATTACAACACTATAAATATGTGAATGATTAACAAGAAATCGGTCGTATATATATAAAAACACGCAAAAGTGTCGTACCGTTTGCCATTTTATTCATTTTTGCTAAAAACTTGCTACAAAATCACGATCATTTTGACGCAAACATCATTGTGCGTATGTATCATAAAATAAACATGTCGCTTTTCGACCTTTTAAGGTTCAAATCATTTGGATCCGATATGAACAAAAATACAAATACCATTACATCATACAAACAACAAAATGTAAGTAATCAAAAACATTCATTTCATTGATTAATTGGTGGGTTTAGTTCCTTACATCAACACAAACAAACCATGCATTCAACCTTAATTAATAATTATGTTTCAAACCAAAAAAAAATCCATGTCCAACTTAAAACATTAATCAAAACAATTGGAAATTTGCTTAAGCACTCCAAACAAGAGAGAGTTCGTGACGAATCGACATACTCTCATGGCGACTTCATCACCCCTGCATCGATCAATGTTATAAATCAGTACTGATTAATATTGAAATACTGATTTCTTTAAAAAACACTTATATTCGGATAATACAAATGTTAGGAGTTTAAGTATACACGAAACGTATTTCATGAGAGTGTTATGCAACCGATACACAATGAAAATATCGCCTCTTAAGAAATATCTATAAACATTTAAGGCATTAAGAAAGTATATCATCTTCAACAACTATGTTAAAATAGACATTTTAAGGATATAGGATATATTTTTGTTTTAACAACTATGTTATAATGTATGCTAAAATAGAAAACAGAAGAGAGATGTGATAGAAATATTCAAATTTAAAAGAAAATATATAAAGAATACCAATTTTTTTTATTAACCTCGATATTCAACTCACTATGCGAACCGACTAATCTCAGGACGACCACCTGCTTTGCAGATAATCCGGAGTCACTGTATTTAAGCCTCCGTGGCTACAAAAGATTTTTATTCCTCCTTGAATTTTAGAAAAATACCATATTTCCGATTACAGATAATAAAAAAATACCATATTTTCGATTTTATGCATTATTAGTAATGAGTGCATCACGTGTCTTATGATTTAGGTTCAAAAGTCTGCATCATTTTGTTTTATTGAAAGGATTTATAGCTTTTAATATATATATATATATATATATATATATGTGCTGAATGCAAATGTTCTCTTTAACAAGTTGGATTATCAAATACAATTAATAGTCAGATGTATTTGATAGATTATATATGTACAAATTAGAAGGGAATAACATTATAACATATCTTGTAGCAAAATTTCGCTCAAAACTTATTGGTTTTTGTAATAATATTATCGTTATAAAATATCGATGTTATTTATCGTGATCTGTAACTTTTTTCTTTTTTTGTTATTCAGATATTTGACTAATACGTATATTGTTGGAACGTATTCTTCAAATTATTACTTAAGAGGCATATTCATTATAGATACATATAGATGATAGTCGAGTTCCCATACAATTAAGCATGATGTAAAATTTTATTGTAAACTGAGAAATCGCTACTGTTCGCTGCTAATAATGTGGTATGGTCGCCTAGAAAAAACGACTATGATATCATAGATGTCGTAGTGCCCGGGAACAGTGTCCAATTCCTTGCTTCCGTGCATCATGGATCTTTCTTTGTATTAGAAAATAAGACATTTGTGTTTAAATAAAATAGAAATTATATCTATACTATATTATAAAGTATGTGACAAAAACTCCTAAAAATTATTTTTTTATGCATGATGTACTATATATTAATGCATATTACTTAAAATTCAAGATTGCAAGTAAATTATGCATAAATACAACTTATTAAAGCTCGATGTTTGAATTCGTATAACTAACTGCGGATAAATATAATCCAATAGAGGATAAACATCTTATTTTAAAATATAAAAAATCTAAAATATAATTAAGATAATTATGGAGTTCTAACTAAATAATTAATTATTATATTTAATAAAAAATTATATTATTAAACCGAAAATAAAAAAATGCACTATAAGTACACAAAAAAACAAAAAAAAAATTTAAAAAGTTAGTTTGGTATTTTTTTAAATATTTTATAATATCTTTATATTTATATTTTGTTCAAAAATAAAAACATTATTACTTTCTTAAAATCATATAAAATCGTATTATAACATCAAGTACGCCAAAAAAAATAAATAAAACAATAAAATAAAGATATATCTCGCTATATTATACGAGTACCATTCTAATATATATATATATATATATATATATATATATATATATATATACACCTGCATGCATATATACTGTCGAAAAAAATCTAAACACACACACACAATTAGCAAGGATCGAGGCTCAAACTCACTGCCACTGTTTCAGTATAGATCCAAAAATATGATTGTAGGTGTTGTCAGTCTTTTTGAGCTATGCTTTATATATGGTTTAATATCTAATTATGTATGAAAACAGTGAACCAGCCGATTAAAAACACCAAAAATCACCGAAAGAAATGCACACCCACCAACAATAAAAGAAGAGAGAGATCTAACAATTACGATTAGGGTTAGGGTTAGGGTTTGCATGAAAGATGATGTAAAGAAAGTTACCTAAAATGGGATCTTGAAAACTTAAATGGAACAGGTGTAACCAGGAGGAGGAGTCTTGCCACAAGTAATAAGCAACTGAAGAGCAAGTGGCAAATATATGTTGATATTCAAAAGCTTAATTTTTAGGGTTGTGCACAGGCAAACTGCAGCCTCAAGCTCCACAAGCCCAGCAAGAATTGGGCAACATTGGTTCACCACTGGGTCACCCAACCCGATATGAACCAACCCACCTAAAAGATCCACACAAGCTCCAAGCTTTAGAGCGTCAATGGGGCAGGTGGGCGCCGGTGCCGGCACAAATGGTGGTGGTGGGCATGGCGTTCCCGGCTTTCCTCCTGATGGTGGGTTGAGTACAGGTGGAAGGGTGATTGGTGGGTTTACGACTGGTGGAAGGGTGATTGGTGGTTTTACGATGGGTGGAAGGGTGATTGGTGGTCTTACGACGGGTGGAAGGGTGATTGGTGGGTTTACCACCGGTGGCCTCACAACTGGTGGTCTGACGATGGGTGGCCTAACGATGGGTGGTCTGACGATGGGTGGTCTGACGATGGGTGGGTGGGTGGTTGGTGGTTTACCGGAGGGTGGTTTATGTGGGTTGTGTGGTTTGGAGGTGTGGTGAGGTGGTTTGCCTCTGCCACAGGGAACACAATCAAGAGCAATCGGAGTGGCGGAGGAGATGAAGACCATTGAAACGAGGAGAAGAGCAGTGAGTTGGTGCTTAGAAGACTCCATTGTTACTCGATGTGTATGGTGAAGTGATGTGAGGAGGGTGTTATATATAGACTCAAAAGTCCTTTTACTCCCTCCCTCCTTCCAAAATAGAAAAAAACAACTCATAAATAAAATACATTTTATAATTTTTATATCAATTTTTTTATTAATCTGGATATCCAACCCGTTATACGAGCCGACTAATCCCAAGGAGACCACCTGCTTTGGAGATAGCACGAAGTCACCGCATTTGAACCTTTGTGCCCACACGAGGATTTTTATTCCTCATTGGATTTGAACCTGAGACCTGATACTTTTGACCTTTTGAGCCAAACTTAAACCAATTAGGCACCACCCTTGTGGTTCAATTATATTATTCTTGTAATTAGAGATGATAAAGTGTCCATCAATTATCTATCGTATCATTTTTACATGGCATTGTCAATTTGTTTTATCGTTAAAGACATCTATTATATACCTTTAATATATAGGTTGCTATCATTTAGGGTCACAATATTGCATAATTAGAGTAACAGTGTTATGTAAACTAATATAAGTCAGTTGGTTTTCTATCTCACCTCATGTTAATGTTTTTCATCACCCCTTTACACTTTTAGGGTTAAAACCAATTTTTCTGAAACCATCGGTCTTGAAATCAAAAGACCATGCATGTTGCTTACAACTTAGAGATTTTTTATTCTTGTTTTAGAGATATGATGGTACTTAAGATTTATACACTCAATATTAGGTTATAAAGAGGTAATAATGTATGAAAAACAATGGTAATTTTGAAATCTTAAATATAGATATAAGTTGACGGTCTTATATGGTTAGTACATTTTTTCAAATGTTAGAAGTTTTCTTACTTGTTAATAAGAAATCTATTACATTCAACAACAAGAGAGGTGACTGATTGGTTTGAGCTTGGCTCCAACGGTCAAAAGTACCAGGAGGTCCCAAGTTCAAATCCAATGAGGAATAAAAATCTCCTTATGGCCATGGAGGTTCAAATGCGGTGACTCCGGGCTATCTGCAAAGTAGCTGATCGTCTTGAGATTAGTCTACTCAAATAGCGGGTTGGATATTCAGGTTAATCCAAAAAAGAAATCTATTACATTCTAATAAAAATTATAATTCATGCTCATGGAAAACTCAAAAAAGTCAGGGACAAATGAACAATGGAGAATATAACAAGGTTTTATAGGCAAATAATTTTAGACTTTGGATCATTAATATAATATGAAATTAGTTTTGGGTCTTATTTAGAAGTAAAATTTCTCTATAAGATCCTACTTATTTCATATAGAATTTAATAAATCAATTTGATTTAGTTTAGAATAAACGAGTTGAATAAGCACAAGTATAATGTTAGTGTTGGGTCACCTATTGATTTGGTGATGACCCACTGATCKGTTCCTCTACATTAGCAACACTTAGTAGTTATTGGTTCTTTGTATATTGGTGTCTTGGTACATACTTAAGCCATTGGCAAAATCGAAGACTAGCCGATGTGAAGAAAGAAGGTCACCGATGCGATGTTGTGGATCAACTGTCTAATATATACACCAAGACTCCAAAGTAGCTGAAATGAATATTGAAAATATTTTGATGCTACAAGCCGATTGAAGGAAGATCATGGACCGAATATTGAAAATCTTCATGGACTCTAGATTAAAGATCATGGACCGAAGATTGAAAATCTTCATGGACTCAAGATTGAAGATCATGGACCAAAGATTGAGAATCTTCATGGACCGAAGATTTGTGAGTAGCTGCTTGAAGCTACATATCCATCCAAAGGAGATCTTCCTACAGACTGACCATATCTCTGCAAAGTTTGTCTCTGCATGAACAGTGTTGTATGCACGCTGTGTACGATGAAAATGAGATATCAACATTGGTCAAGTCAACCCCTGCCTTCTTATCCTCAGGTGACAAGTGTCCCCATGCATTAAATGCTGAAGGTAGTATAAAAAGGCAGTGTGCATCTCCCATGCACATAACTGGCTTTTGCAAGATTACTTAATGCTTTCTCAAAGCAATCGGCTATTCTCTTCTTCTCCCTCGCTCTCCTGTGTGCGAAGAAATTCTTAGTGTTCTTCATTTCCTTTCAAGAACTCTCTACGTTGTTCTTGAAAGTTCTTCTCCTTGTAAGATTGTTTAGGTTAGGTTTTCCTTTCCTATTTTCCGCAACAATCTTTTGTATTTCTGTGTGTATTAATTCTTGATATAAATCAATAAGAATTAAAAAGTTGAAAAAAGTTTGTGTAATTGTATTCAACCCCCCTTCTACAATTACTTTCTGTTTATTGCCATTCCCTTCGGGACTAACAAGTGGTATCAGAGCAAGTTAGCTTAATCTCATAAGCTAGATCTGCAATGGCCTCTTCTTCTTCCAACTCTACTCCTTCTTCTTACCAAGACAATGGCATTATTGCCAAGCCTCCCAAGTTTAACAAGAACAATTTCTCTATGTGGAAAAGTCGCATGACACTCTACCTTGAGGGTGTTGATAGTCAATATCTCTCAATCCTCAAGGATGGACCCATTGTTCCTAAAGTATGGACCCATTGTTCCTAAAGTATGGCTTCGTCATGGAAAGAACAAAGACGATGGTATCTCTTCAAATAATTCTGATGATGATGAAGAGAAATCTGATTCTACTGGAAGGTTCATCATCAAAGATCCTTCTCAGTACAATGAAGACGATAAAAGAAAAGTTTCCTTGGATACCAAGGTAAGGGCTATCATTGCCCTCTCTCTTCCTGATGATGTCTTCCATTCCCTGGTAAACCTCTCTACTGCTAAGGACATGTGGAACACTCTATGTGTTCTGTATGAAGGAACCATCGAAGTAAAGAAAAGCAAGAAGATTGGCCTTGTTAGGCAATATGAGCTCTTTGTGCACGGGAAAGGTGAATCTCTCACTGAGTACTACAACAGGTTTAACARCYTTCTYAATGATCTRAAGTTTCATGGYAKAGTCTATGAAAACGAAGAAGTCCTATGCAAGTTCATGGACTGTTTACCTGACTTCTGGGAAAACATCTGCACTTGTATCAAGACAAGTAAAGATCTTGAAAATATGCCTCTGACTGCTCTTTATGGAACTGTCCATAATTATGAGCAAACCAAGCTTCTCAAAAAGGCATTATTGAAGGATCCCAGAACTTCTTCTCCTGTTGCCCTTCTCTCCAACGGTACGAGGAAGCCAGTAAGTGAACCTCGTATCATTTATCTATCTGACACTGAAGAAGATGCTGTCAGAAAAGAAGAACTTGCTGAAAGCCATGCTGATGATGCTGATGATGAGGGTGATGAACTCTCAATTAAAGACTTAGTTGACAACATGACCATGATGGCTACCAACTTCAAAAGGTATGCCAAAAAGGGTCTTCTAACTTCTCTCCCAGATCTAAGGTCACCGACCGAAGAACCTTAAATCAATCTAAGTCAGCTCCTCTTGAACTGTCCAATGAGGAGTGCTTCAACTGTGGCAAGAAAGGTCACTTTGCTGCTGAGTGTAAAAGCAAAAGAATCTCTAAGCGTCATCCTTCTCATCCCTCTAGCCGATCCTCTCACGATAAGCACAAGGCAAAGTACAAGAGAGAAAAGGCAAAGAACCTGAACCTTCAGAGAAAAGGTAAGGGTCTCATCGCTGAGACTCATGACTGGATTGATRAGCCAACCTCTTCCTCCAGTGATGAGGACATGGCACATCTGTGTCTTATGGCCAACATCTAGGAGATAGAAGACTCTGTTAAGGACTCCTCCTCTGCTGCTGCTGCTGATCTACCTTCTACCTCCAAGGATGCCAAAGACCTGGTCAAACCAAAGAAGGTAAACAACTTCTCTTATCTCTCTGAATCTGAAAAGGTTCAAGCTTATGATTCTTTATCTGTTGATCTTTACATGCTAGATCTGCTAAGAAGAAAGCTGACCTTGAAATCAAAAGTCTAACTAATCAGTTACATAAATGCATGAATCAACTGAAAGACTTTGATAAGTTGAAAAATGACCTGAAAGAACAAAAGTTAATAAAAAATGTTCTTAACAAAGAAAAAGCTAAGGTCTTTGAGAAGCTGGAGAAAGAAAAAGCCATTCTTCAAAAATGAGCTAGATCATCCAAGAACCTGGATAAAATTTTACATGGTCAACTTCCTATTGATGTAAAGACTGGCCTAGGTTATGATGATATGGATCTGTGTGCTTTTGATGACTCTATGTGCATTTCTTCTCACATTCTTTCTTCCTCCTCTCTCCATCTCACTTATTTGATTATGTTGGATCTCTTTCTCCTAGATCTAATGAAAATGGAAAATCTCTTAAGTTCAGAATTTTTGTCAAAGGTAAAAGATCAAACATTGAATCTGAGAATGTTCCTGTCGATTGTGTGTTTAACTCTCTCTCTCTTAAGGAATCTCTTGTTGCATGCTCATCTAAATCTAAAACATCTGAGCATCTAAAGCATCCTTTGAATCGTCATTTCTCTGCTGCTGAGAAAGGCAAGTCTATGGTCAAGCCTATCAAGAATAAGAAGCCAAAATCCAAACTGAAGATGAAACATAAGCCTTCGGCTACCTCATCTCAGTCAACTGTTGCTTCTCAGACTGGTACCTCAGTACCTTCTATTACTGAGTT